TTCTAGAAATTAAGGAAGAGGCATAGATAGGTAAGGCTCTATAGCCCCTCCACATAGTAGCAGGGACTTTCATCTGATGATAGGTTTCAGGTCTCAAAATCCCAGGAATTTCCTGCTAGCCAAGAGGACAACCTAGGTAAAGAGAGCAGCAGGCCGCCTTCAATTTTTTGAATGCATTCAATGGGGATACTACGGGAGCGAGTGCCTCACCCAGGGAGGCGGGTGAAGGGGAGGAGGAGGTGAATTGATGCCTCTCAGTACATCAGAGGGTACCCGGTCCAGCCGAGCTCTGGCCAGTGCCAGGGAAAAGCCATCTCACGCTGTGACCGGATGCGACCTGCTGCAAGGCGGAGGCTCCCTGTGCCCATCAAACACAACAATAAGAAAAATAGGGATGTGACAAGAGAGGGAGTAAGCACAGTAATTCAGTTCCTCCTCTGCCATCCCGCAGAGTATAAATACTGTTTTGCTGCTCAATGGAGCAGCCTCACAGAGGAGCAGAAAGAAAAATACGCAGCTGAAGCGCCCATGTTCCTCTCCAGCTGGGTCCATGTCTTCTCTTCATAGGGCTGGGCACAACCCGAGGAGACATGACATGAACAGCTCAATTTTTGGGCTCTGTGCTCTGCTATTAACAAAGAATATTTCCAGGACATTTGTATTAGAGGAGTAGTGTAACACCCTACTAATGTTAGTTACACCCCCGGCTATTCAAGTTAAAAAGGCAATCCCAAACAAGCCCGACTTTGTTTCCCAGATGGGTCCATGAGATCAGCACTTTGAGGGCAGTGGTGGACCCCAGGCTGCACTGAGACTTAGGTTAGGCAGTGCCCACACGTCATCGGCAAGACATCGGCTCTCGTTGCTGCAGCCGCTCCACTATCAAAGGGGTGGTGACATCTTAAGACCAGAATCCACCTCTTTTGGTACTGGTATTACCCAAAACAAAAGTTGATCACTTGCATATTTGACAGGGGGAAACTCCTAAAGTCTTCTATTTCTTTTTGATACTGCAGTCAAAAAGTAATATGGATTTTGTTACATTCAACATCTGGTCCAAAAATGTGCATTTCCACTAAGGAAAACACAAACCAGAAAAGGCAAGCCAAAACAAACACACACAAAATGTTACTATTGTTTTTACATATTTTATCCAGATAGGATTTTTAATATGCACAGAAACTGTATCTGATGTTATGCAGTTGGGTCTAGATATGGAACTTAAAAAGATGAATTTCTTTTCATGTGTATCATTTTGTTTTATTTCAGTCTTCACAAGTCTTTTTCTACTTAACTGGCACTGGACAACCCTCAAATTGCATTTTCAGTGTATGATTTATATAGATATAAAAATATGTGGGATAAGAAAGCTTTAACGTTATATTTCACAATTCATTTAACAAAGTAGCAGTAGTTAGAAAATTTTGCTTGGCAAGATCATACTGGGGTGGGAGTGGGCCTGTATGTGGAAAAGGGACCTAAGGAATGTTCCTACCATTAGTCTGAGGCAGCACAGTCCGACGATGGGAATTTGCTCTGGGAGGTAGAACTTGCTGTAAGCCATTCAAGATTAGATATGAGGCACTGACATATGACAAATGAAACTGCTGAGAGAGCGGGTCGTACGAGCTAATGATTTTCAATCTTTAATCAGGCACTTAGTTTGGCATAGTGTATTAGATTTGAGTAAATAAGTACCTTTAAGGCTCAGGGTCAAAGCTTTGATGGGAATTCTGCTGAGGAAAACTGAGCTGGAGGGACATTTAGGAAGAAAAATATTAGTCGCTCTTCATTCACAGGGCGACTTCATTGAACAGGGTCAGATCCTGCCAGGTCCGGTGGCACCTTGCTGGCAAGAGAGAAGCCACTCGAGATACCACGCAGGCAGACATACCTCTGGGAAAGCTGGAGTGTGCTGGGAGAAAAAAAAAATCATGCTTAGAATCTGCTTAGTTTGGGCCTTGTATTCCCCGACCTCCAAGTTTTTGGGCACAGTTTTATACCCACAGCTGACTGTGGGCACAGAAATTATAGCATTCAGGAATTTAACTACCTGATGATTGGGCCTGCGCTCAGTGTTGTAACCCCAAGCATTCCACATTCATGAGAGAAGCCTCCAAAAAAATAAAAAAACCTGTGAGATTGGCTTCAGGATCATGAATTAATACTTCATGAAACTTCTGCTTTTTTGAGCCTGCGTGGCTTGCATTCGCAAGCTGTTCCACCATCATAAACAGTGGGAACCTTTGAAAAAATACAACAGTGAAATCAGATTTCTGAACAACAAAATGATTTACAAAACTGGACCTTCAGAAAGACAACAACAAAGGAAAAATCAAGACTTAGGATAAAGTTTTTGGAGATTGTACTATAGAGGGTGTCAGGCAGTGCTGTATATAAATGGCAGCATCAACCAAATACACACACAGGCAAATATATATATACACACACACATCCATATATAAATATACATATACAAAGATATCACCCAGGACACCAGAATGGGTGATATCTTTGTCTTTCAGGAACAATGACACTTTCTGCTGTCGCAAGGAAGCACATCAGTGGCAGAGACGATGTCTCCTTGGAACAGCTTCCAGAGTGTTGAGCCCACAAAAGAATAAGGAGCCTCACAAGCTTCACCTCCTCCCACTCTCTGAGCGAGTTACCGACTTGGCCTTTTCAACCAAAAAACAGACATCACAAACACATGCAGAACATGACAAAATGTGTACTAAACCACAAATCTACTCTTCACCAAGATTTACTATTTAGGGAGAAGAGGAGCACGGATCAGGTGTGGCAGATGCACCCCATTGGTAATGCTTTCGTGGAAGTCTTTAGATTGTACAGTGTTCTTTGGTGAAGGTGGAGAGAAGGTTGCTTCCATCCACCTTTTGTTATGGATTTTGCTGCAGTGCTTCTGGATACAACTGCTTGTTGACTAGTGGCTGAGCAAGCTGTAGAAACAGGCTAGTGTCAGGGGAAAAAAAAAAAAAGTATAAGCACTTTTACACGTATCTACGTGCACATCTAAATACCAATAGATTACTTCAACCCACATTTGTGGAACAGGATCGGAATCTTGTTTGGAGGTCTTTGAGAAAATTGTGTCCTTCTGCACAGGCATGAAGTAGAGACAGAGGAACCCTTAAGACCCCGGAGTATTTCATAAGGCATCCCTCTACTCACTGCTACTGAGATGCAGCTGCCGCAGCAGAAGGCAGCAAGTTTTCTGGCTTCTGTTTTTTCCGAAGGGAAGACAGGAAGGTGATACAGTTTGTCAGTGGCCTTTCCAGTCAGCAGCTCATCACAGCCTTGCTGATTTTCTTTTTAGAGTAGTTGCAGCTATAGTAGCTTCTTCCCTAACCCAGTAAACCTTCCTGGAAATCACCTTTTCTGCCTCTGATAGGCTAACTTGACCTTGACCTGGGAAAAGCCAGTGGTTCCAGAAGGTCTAAGGTATTTTTGAAGAGGATGCTCAGCTATCTTGTACTTGCTACTGTATGTTGGCAAGGGAGAATCAAACCCAAATATTCTCTTTAATATTGAAACCCCAGAAATTTGGGAAAAAACAAAACATACAATTTAAGTGAAACTCGAACAACTCAGGAGGGTGCCCTCTATTTGCAGGGATAATCAGATCTGTGCAGCTTTTATTTTAAGGCCAGTTTCTTAAGCAGTAAGCATTTTTTACTTCCCTTCTGCTTCATTATGCCATTGTACTCAGATTTCGGCCCTTTTATCCTTTGCCCATTTCAGTCATGTTCTGGGATCTGCAATGAAACCACTACAGGAGATGGTCTGCAGCATCAGTAATGCTTTAAGACAAGCTCGGTAGCTCATGTTTCTTTGTTAGCGTCCCATTGCAAAGGGGAAAGATCAGCTTGCTTTGTTCTTAGGCCTTGATTTTCATAAGCTAATGATGACTGCGGGTGTAACTGTGGTCAGGCTTAAGTGGTAGCACGAGGGCAGAAAAACAGAGAGGCGCTTCCATGAGGCCAGTTTCCCCTCTGCTGCGCGCACCGAGCGGGAGGGCATCTGCTTGCCTTGCCCGGGTATATGCCCCTGCCTGGGGAAGGACGGGTTTTTCAACCGTGGCATCGGCTAGCTGCAGCGGAGCCGGGAAATTGGGAGCAGAGCATGAGCCCGAGCACCCTCCAGCATTTGAGTCCTTTATAGGGACCATCTGATGCTGGATTAACCTCCACCAGGTTAACCTCCTCTAGCAATAGCAATAATAAATGCTCCCACTTCTTTTTGGCTCACAGCTGAGCAGGACCCTTCAGTGGATTTTATTTCCTCTAATGTTGTGCAGTCGTTGCCCTGGTGCAAAAAATATATTTGTGGCTGAACATTTGCATGATGGTTGGGCTAGATACTGCAAGGAGTGCTGCTTTTAAAGGGGATGGTGTGCTCTGTGGGTTGAATAGTTAATAGGTATGCTGCTATTACCACTGCCGGCATACGCAAAATTTTTAATTATGCAGCGAATATGAATGCCTATTCGGCCTCAGAGTATATATAGTTCTGAGATCTTAAAGCTGGTGAAAATTTTTTAAACATTCTTTGAGCATTACCTAAAACAATGAAGATTAAATATTCTAAATCTTAACAACACTTTAAAAAACCATTTTTTTTTTCTGTTTTCAAACTGAAAATGATTTGAAATTTTTTTTGAAGTCACTGGAGTCCCATGAATTACTTTGGCTCTAAAGACATGTCTTCTGAAATTTAAGTAAATATTCTCCAGTATTTGGAAACAGAATGCAAATGTTTTTTAATAAAATGACAAAACGCTGTGTTTCCGGCCAGGCACCATGTAAACCAGATTGTGTTATGAGCATTCTGCTGAGAAGTGAGAAGATTTATAAGCATGCATTTGAAAAAAATTCAACCAGCAGCAATGAATATTCATATGAACTAAACAGACTGAGATTTAGGCAAGCTTGTAATGCCATTTTCCTGCAGTAACAATATGCAAATGTCTGTACACATAGGTTCTTGAAGAGAGAATGAAATTGGAGTGCAAGTGTCACGGAGTTTCAGGTTCCTGTACAACTAAGACCTGCTGGACCACACTTCCTAAGTTCAGAGAGATTGGATATATTCTGAAAGAGAAATACAACGCTGCAGTGCAAGTGGAGGTGGTACGAGCCAGTCGACTAAGACAGCCAACCTTCCTGAAGATCAAGCAGATTAAGAGTTACCAGAAACCCATGGAAACGGATTTGGTGTATATCGAAAAGTCACCCAACTACTGTGAGGAAGATGCTTCCACGGGGAGCGTCGGTACCCAGGGACGACTCTGCAACCGTACCTCTCCCAATGCGGATGGGTGTGACATGATGTGCTGCGGCAGAGGGTACAACACACACCAGTACACCAAGGTGTGGCAATGTAATTGCAAATTCCACTGGTGCTGCTTTGTGAAGTGCAACACGTGTAGCGAGCGGACAGAGGTGTTCACCTGCAAATAACGGCATCGTGTGCAAATGAACAGAACAAATCACCACGAGTGAAGAAAGTGGAGTACAACAAACGACGACAGCATCATTTTGCACATCTAATCTTCTTTGGGAAAAAACAAACAAACAAACAACCCACCAACCAACACCACAACAACCAATCCCTCCCCACTACTTACACTTCTAAGGATGGTGCATTTTGGCTGGCTGGCTGTTGTAACTGCTTTGGAAACAAGGGCAACAGGATTAAGGTGATGTTGATAACCATGTGATACTTTCTCTCGCTTTTGGGTGTTTTTAACTACAATCTGGGTGTTGTAGATTCTCCTAGTAAGTGTTTTAAGTTATACATATCAGAGAAGCTGATTGCATTGCAGCTCCCATGAAATTTAAAGGAAAAAGACACTTTCTCCTGTTTTACAACAACAAAACCACCAAGCCCTGTGCAAATAAAGACTTTTTTTAAAGGAAATTAAATCTTCACTGACTAGAACACAGCAGTCTTGCTGCAAAAACCTTAATTTCTAAGAAAGCAGGTAGAGAAAAAACAACTGGTAGGGAGGCAAAAATCTGTGGCGGAAATACTCCACTACCAGTTTGGAAAAAATAAAGTTCACAAAATTACATCAGCTGCCAGTGACACTGGAACTCTTTGAATGAACATTAAAAATAATTATTTATGTTTTTAATAGTATCAAAAATTTCTAAGCACTAACGGGTAGCTATGTCTTAATTCTGTACTAAATGTAAACTTATTGGAACTCTGACTTTATGATTTTTGTATTTGGTTCTCCCTAAGTTCTTCAATGCTACTGATCTGTTGTCACTCCACTATTAGAGAGTTAAATTACTGTAGGCCTTAAGCAATTACCAGAACTGAGCAAAAAGATCACGCGAAACTGTGGTTACAAATGCTTGATAAAGACTTTTCTCGCTTGGCTCCTGCATAAGAATGACTCTTTTTAGACTCAGGCTTGAGGCGTGCAGCACCTGCTCTCAGCTCCTTGTAGGGAGTTTTAGGATACAAAGGCATGCTTCGACAAATATCAAAGGTTTTGCTTTGCTGTTGAATGCACTGGCAGGATCTTCCAAGCATTGCCTTTAACCGTTGAAAGTTAATATTACCAATAGTTTTAAATAACTTAGGCTCAGTATGAACTGAGAAGGTAATAAAAATATGGTAGCCGAGCTCTAGGTTGCTTCAACCTGTGAGCTGTGGTGGCTTCACCAGCATAAGAAAGCTAGAATTTGGGTTAGTCCGTGTCGTCGTTATTCTAAGGTTGGCAGTAACATATCCCCTGGTAAATACATTAATGTTAAGAAAGAAGCTGACTTTTTACACCAGCACTCAATCATAATTCACACACCTTTTCCCTACGAGAGATTTTTTTAAAAAAATCCTCAGATGTTTTACTACTGTAAAATCTAGTGGTTTTAACCCCAAGAGCCAGATATGCCCACTTATAGTACAGCAAATTTAATCACAGAAATGTTTGCTTGTAGCAAGGGTCCCTACCTGATTTTTCTGAAAACCTGGATTAAAAATTACCTAACGTCTACATATCTGCATTTCTAGCTTTTGTTTCATTTTATTACTTTTATTGACGGGCTGCATAGCCATGAGCCCTCCCCACCTGACACAGGAGCACTTCCCACACCACACAGCGCTCTTGGGGCAAGGGGCTGGTGGAGCTACTGCTCCACCGGTTCCCATGCTGGATATGTGAATGAGCCAGGCTTACCTCCATAATTTATGGACCTGTATTATCAAAAGTAACTCATGACCTGGGGACCATTGTTTGAACACTCATGAGGACCCACCTTTCTGACTCCAAGCACTTACCCTCTGAAAATCAGACTCCCTTGATGAGTCTCCCATGGAACAATCCAAAATTGAAGAGCTCACTTTTTTTGTTGTTGCTGTTGGTTTCTAAATACCAGCTAGAAATTCAAACTCGGCCTCGGCGTGAACGAGTGCAACTCCACAGAAGTCAACAGGGGCCCCCAAAATTGCTAGAGTCACTCCAAATAATTTAAAGTCCCTTTGATTCATGGCTATTGTTGTTGAATAATAGTGATATACTGTACTTTCACTACATTCTTGACAGGAAGCAAATAAAGCTCCCAAGCACAGTAATGCACAGTCTTATGGTACTAGATACTGTAAATATATTAGAATAGTATTTGTTAAGTACAATTGAGGAATCCAATTAAGTTATATTATTGTATATCGTTTAAATGTCTATAGAGTATTTTAAATTATTGTGAACTACACTGCGTTAAAAAAAGAAAAAAAAAGGTTATATATTATAACACCAACCACTCTGAAAAGTGGACCAAAGTGACACTTTCTCTTGTTTTTTTTACATACCCCTATTTCCAATAGCTCTGTCAGCTATTGTAACACCATGGTAACAGCCCTAGATTAGCTGTCTAGAATGTAACGTTTCAGAGCATCCTATAAAAGGTTGGCTCGTGTGGAGGTGCGGCATTCAGAAAGGTACTGTATGGCACACAGCAGGGGCTGACCACAGAAATACATGGACTTTGAACTATGTCCCAAGAAAAAGCAGTTTGGTCAGAAAACACCATTACCACTAATGTACTGAAACATCCCCCAAAAAGGGAGACCTTTTAACGAAGGTGGCTATCATGAAAGTGGGTTACACAGAACTTTTATTTTAAAAAATGTAGTTTGACGTCAAAGAACTGTGACAATAGAGGTTTGAATGCGACCAGCAACACAACGTGGTTTAACAATCCCTTAGCCATGACAAAACTCAAAATACTGTATGTTATTAAAGAATTTAAGAGCAAAGATCAATGTGTTTACTATGTTAATGTTTTATGGCAAGCAGAAAACAAAAGATGAAATGCGTTTCCATTAAAACTTAATTTTTTCCCCTTCTAGTTCCCTTTATTTTTGTTTGTTATTCATTTAGAAAAAAGAAAGAAGGTGACAATGCCTTATGCAAAGGCCATTTGTGTACAGGCTTCTCTGGATGAGAAATGATATATAGATTCCATGTCCAAAGCAGTTTTTGTGTTTTGTGAGAAACACTAATGAACCTGCCTGCATTTGGTATCACAGTCCAAAGTCTCTGTACCATTACCTACAGCAGTGGTACAGAGAAACCGGCACTAGCACCAGCCTTGCTACTACCAGAGACTTCAAGTGGCTCAAATAAGGAGGAGATAATTGTTCTGGGATAGAAACGTGCCATCGGACTCCAAAACGGTTCTTGACCATGAACCTCATGTAACAGATTAGTGAACAGAGAGGAGTAAGAGATGTAGAGGAGAGGACTGAAGGCCCTGACTTCAGCACTTGCATGTGCTCCAACTTATTCAAGTAAGTTACGGACACATCTGAAAACCTACACAAATATGGACCTAAAAGATTTTACAGCATCTACCTTGGTCAGAATAGTAGTAACCTCCTTGATGTTGAGAATAGTGTCTTCCCACACAAAATCTAAAGAAAATGTACAACCTTTGTTGTATATGCCCCTCGGGGAAGATATCCAGCTATAGATAAAGGTATAGCCAAATTCCACATGAACTAAGTCCAAAATAACTTCATTAAAATGAACCGAGTTGCCCTGGGTTTACAGCAGTATAAGTATGCGCAGCATTTTACCCGTGGATGCCAAAGAAAACACTGCACCTTCTTTCTAATTACATCATGGGAAACTTGTTCATAGAGATGCAGGAAGTTTTTATAGCAAATGGTAATCTTACATTCATTTGTACGATGATATCTGGCAAGTAGATGAAACTCATCAAGAAGTTTGCAAATCTTTTAACAAATCTAAAGCATGTTGTGAGTAGGTGACTTAAAGTTTCTTTCTTAGTTTAAGGTTAAAAATTCTACTGAATATAACAAATCAAGACCTTCTCTTATACTAGCTTTCCCATGCGAATAACCCAATATGCCTTTCACTATTGAAGGCACTATTGGCGTTCTACAGAAAACACTTTCTATAAAGCTAGAGATAATTTGCATTCACAGCAATTTTCATAACTGCACAGAATGACTGCATATTTCCTTTCCAGTCCTTCAGACCTTTTGTTGCGATGACAGTTCCCACAGTGACGGCGGTGCAGTAAGTGGTACAGTAAAGACACAACATTCTTCTCTCCGAGTGATGGTCACAATGAGGTGTGGGATATACACAACTAAAACTATGTTTAAGGGATAAAAACATCAAAGTGGGAAGGGCAGAGGAAGTCGTAAGCAATTTCATTTTGTGATACTGATGTTGAAAGAAACCTCCTGCATGCAAAACAAACTGCACTGTAGGCTGAACTTCACCCAGAAACTTTTTCCCCCTCAAATCCAAAGTCCTCCATCTACATCTCTGCACATTTGGACTGTTTCATTGGAGAACAAGCACACCCGGAGGTTGGCAAGCATTTCCCTTTTGGTGTTTTAGCCTCTATTAGGAAATTGTAGGGGATCATTTCCTGAGAAGGGAGATAGTTGCAAAGTTAAAATTTGCATTTCATTTTTTAAATTAAGATCTCGGGCTTTTTTCCTGCAAATTTCTGCAGTACAGATATATGTGCTTTAAAAGATTTCTCTGGTGAAGAATTAAGATGGCAGTTTTCACATAATACATGGTCGTTGGTTGCAATGTGTTCCACAGAGTGCTGAGGCAGAAGAAATAATACTGCTGTAAATTCAAAATTTTTAGTTGCGCTGTTTTTACTGAAAGCAATACACTATTACCTGTTTGGAGACTCTAGTGCCATTCCATTTTATAGGATGATCCTTTCCATAACTTGGTACTACGAAAGGCCCAAAAATGGGAATAACAAAGTTTACCTATGTTTTGGGTCCTCTTATTCTTCCTGTAAACAGACCCTAAGATCAATAAGGAACCAGCTTAATGACATTTAAACTTGTGCATAGGTATTAAAAACGATTAAGATATTTGTTTCATAGGTGATCCCAAACAAATGGCACCGCACCAGACATTGGAAATGTTTGCATCGGAAGCCAGCTGTATGATTAGCCTCTGCCTTCATTTACCCAGCAATTTAGGGGAAAACCAGCATTTTAGATCCCATACAGCTAAAAGGAATTCCCAAGGAGATTACAAGATTTTGATCTTATTGTTTAATTCCTGTGGCTGAGAATGAAAAGGAGCATTCCCTCAATCTTTGGGTAAAGGGAAACCCAAAGGCATTTTGAAGACTATTCACACCACTCAACTTAAAAGACAGGCTAAGTGAGCTGACAGCCTCTC